GTTTGAATGCCACTTCTGGCACCTTCAGCCCCACTGGGGAAGAGTAGAGGATCTTCTGCCTGGGGAGGGGTAAGGAGTACCAGCTTCCAACCTACTCATGGGAAAATAGAACAGGTAATGGTCCTGTCGGCACCAAAGGCATTGACTCAGTTACAAGTCCTTAGAATCAGAGAGAGAGAGAGAGAGAGAGAGAGAGAGAGAGAGAGAGAGAGAGAAGCTAAGATGGCTTTACTAGTGACTACTGCCAAATGTTAAAGAAACAGATAAGTTCTTCAGACACAACTCTCAGAAAATGGAAGGAGATTCTCCCAGTTCACTTTATGGGTAGAAGAAACTTGATAGTCTAGATCAACTTTCTATTGGCCTGGGTGGCATCTGGGCTAACAAGGACATCATCAAATATAAGAAAGAAAATGTAGAGTAGAGCCCTGTCTTACTCATCAGTATGTAAATGTGAAAGAAAATCTGGCAACAAGCAATAGTAGTAATACATCCTGACCAGGCTGAACTGTTCCTAAGGATGTAAGATGGCTGTGATAGGGAAAATTGATTAAACGTAATTTGCTATGAATAAAAACCACTTCCCAAGGTCACATCCATGCTTACAAAAACTTGTAGCAAACTAGGTAGAGAAGGAAACTTCTTCAGGCTTAGAAAGCCCATAATATATATTTAATAACCAAAGTGGAAACAATAGAGTTGCAGCTCTAGATAGAGTATGAAACATTTGGATGCATACACCTGGAGCCCACCAGCAAGGTGGGTCCCTCATTTTGACTGGGTGGGGTTGGGGCAAGATTACCTGGGGACCCAGAAGATGTAGTGACGGATGGCCAGGGAGCATACTCCGGGGACCTCTTCTCTGTGGAGGTGACACTGGTCCCCACCATCAGGAAGAGTGCTGTGTGTTTATGCAGGAAGCCCCCTAAGTGGAAATTCCCACCTTCCTTTCAAACTGTTTTGCTCAAAGTCAAGCACACTTTAACAACTCCAGGAACATCTGTGCCTGTCTTCATCGGCCGCTCCAAGCCTCCTCACCTAGTCTATAGATTAAAGTGTTCGTGGGTAATAGGGCAGTTTTGTGGGTAGAAAGTGAAAGGCTTATTTAAAAAGTAGTACTTTCTTTGAGACGGACTCAGCCTTCATAAGGGAGGATTGCTTGGAAAATGAGAGACCAATGTCCCAGATGGAGACCATAAAAGTGCCTTGGCTGTAGACAGTTAATAATAGCAATGATGATAGTAAAGTTTGGTTTGGCCTGCTCTTTATTATCCCCACCAGCCTGCAGCTCCACACAGTGCCTGAGAAGTCCTCCGCCCTCCCTTCCTCTGGATCTGCCTGCCCCCTTGGCCATGCCCACGCTGGCCACGGAGCTCACTGTCAGCAGTCCTGCCAACTGTGTGCAGCAAGGCAGGATTAATTTTTGCATCCCCCTTGTGCTTGGCATAGCTCCCGGCACATGACAAATGCTCAGGAAATGCTTATTGCTTCAAGCATTACTAACTTTGCATGCAGACACAAGCTATAACATCAGATGTCACAGAGGACAAGAGCTGTGGCACGATGGAGGGAACTGAAGAGTTCAAGAGGTGGAGATGGTGGGGGACTTAGGTTGGGTCCTGACTCCACCACTGACTGGTTTCTGCATGTATGAACCCACTGGATTGTCACAAGTGACAAGCCCACAGGCACATTAATGTATGGCCAGCCACAGTGCAACACCCAGCACACATGGCTTCGGGTCTCCACACCAGAACCAGGTGGAGGAGCTGGACTGCACGATTGACTAACTCAGGGAGGAAGCGCCTACAGTGTTTTGGAGAGCAAGCTCGGACTCTCCGTCTCATCTAGGCCAGCGTCTAAATCCCCGCTGTGGTGCATATTGCCCATGGAACCCAAGGGAAATGAGATAATGATAATTACTTTGGAGGCATGCAGTGAAAATTAAATGACACAGGTTCATTCATTCATTATCCATTCAGTAAATATTTATCATCAGTTAATCCATGCCTAGTCTGGTCCCTGGTCATAATGCCTTAATGGCTGGACACATTTAAAGGTCAAATGATTAAACAGAAGTCAGTTATACTATTAGTTCCTCTTAGCTTAATTAAAAAGAGAAGTTTGTGCTAGTATCAATTGGAGAAATTTTTATGCCTGTATCCTATACCCTGAGTAATTATTTTAAAGATAACATGTAATGCACTAACAATTTTTATTCTCCTATTATTTTATTTATTTTTTAATTTTTATGTATTTATTTGGCACACAGTCTTGCTATGCAGCTTAGACTGGCAGTGTTTCTCCTGTCTCAGCTTCTCCAGCACTGGGATTATAGGTGTGTGTCACCATGACACGTGGTACCAGGGATCGAACTCAGGTCCTTGTGTTTGCCAGGCAGGTACTTAGACTGCTGAGCCATCTCCCCAGTCCTCTCATTATTTCATTATGAAATTTTGTTTTAACTTTTATCATAAAAATTTTTTTAAAAACAAGAGCTTGAAAGCATAGTGCTCTGGTCACAAGATGGTTCTTTTAGTCTGAAAATATTCTAACCTGCTCAGAGAACCAATTTTGTCTTCTGTTTTTGGGCCAGAGCTTGAACTTAGGACCTTACACTTGCCAGGCAGGTACTCTGCCACTGAGCTATGTCTCCAGCCCAATTTCTGCACTGAATATAAAAGAGAAGGGAAGAAAAACCCTCAGCTGGGCATAGTGGTACATACCTGTAATCCCAGCACTCTGAGTAGCAAGTTTGAGCTCAGCCTGGGAAACCTGACAATTTAACAAGATCCTGTCTCAAAATGGAAACTATAAAATTGTTGGAAGTGTAGCTTTGTGCAAAGGTCCTGGGTTCAATCCCTAGTACTGAATAAAGAGGAGTAGGGGGAAAAAATAAACAGAAATATCAGAAAGTTGGGTTGAGATATAGTTCAATGGTAGATCACTTGCGTAGCATGTGTAAGGCCCTGGGTTCAAATCCCAGTAATACACACACAGGCAGAGACAGAGACACATGCCACTACACAAGATGTAGACATAACACATGCTACTTCTGCAGACCAAAGCTGGTCAGAATTGCACTGTGCAGAGCCCTGAGCATCAGAGTATGCAGAGCCTGGGTCATCAGCAGAGTGGCCCACACAGACCAGGGGTGGGGGTCCAGGAGCCCTGAACTCAGACCATGAAGACAGAACCCTGTCTTGTAAGCTAGAAGCGCAGGCCAGGAAGAGCCACCTCACGCTCAGCCCCAAGGACTCAACCACATCTTTCTTAGATTTTTGGATCTCAGCACGACTGTGACCACCGAAGACCTTTCTGACACGCCATGTACAGTAGTAGTTTCTCCCCTCTCCCTTTGCTCTCCATCCAGACATGGTGTTGTCTAAAAGGTCTCATTTGTGCATGGCCTGTCCCCCTCCATGGAATGCCAGCCCCAGGAAGAGCCCCTGACTTGTGTCCTTGCTGTGTTCCCTGGGCACAGACTGGGATATCATAAACACTTAATAGTGCTGCGGACCGGGATGCAGCAGGAAGACGCAGGGGCCATGTAGGAAGCAGGACGGAAGGGTCACTGTCTAAGTGTAACTCGCTTTCAGGGTGCACTTGTGATTTCTGTCTCAGGAGGACTCGCTTAGAAAATGAGAGGGGCTAAGCTCTCAGGGGAGCAGTGGGCACCTGGGGTCTCACCTTAGGAGACAGCACACTGAAGTTGACGTTAACAGTTGGGGTTACCGGAGGATTTGACTGGGGTGAGGATGACAGGAAATGAGACCCAGAAAGGAGACTCAGGCCTGAGAAAGGGTCTCAGCACTAGTTCTGCCCCCTGGAAGCCAGGAAGCCCTCACTAGGTGGGGCCTCAGAGGACAGGGCGTGTGAGAAGCAGACTGCTCTGGACTACAGAAAAGTGGATGGTGGGAGGCCCAAGGTCCAGCAGGGTGGAGGATGGCCTGCTGCTGGGGTCATCAGGTGCTGTGGCACCCAGTGAGGGGCCTTGTCACCTCCTTGTTCCCTGCCTGACCCCATCCTCAGCTGTTCACTGAGTCCCACCTCAAAACCCAACCTCGGGTAAGTGCAGATTCTCTTCAAGTAGAATGGCCAAGGCATCACCCTTGCAGGAACATGGAAACTAGCCTTTCAGTAGTAATACTAACATACTTGTTAGGCAGGTCTTAGCCCATATTTTAGGCCTTAGTTCTAGACTCAGAACAAGTGAGATTCATTGTTCAGTTTAAATATCTGTAAAATGAAGGTAATAATTGCTGAGTTAACTCCTGAGAAAAGTAGATGAACCAAGGCCTAAGTGGAGGCCCCCTGTGGGCTGTACCTCCAAACCAACATTTAGTGAGAGGCTAAGAATACCTATTGTAAAGCCTAAAGCCGCAAGAGGGCTTGGGTAGGGTGAGAGCTCCTCTCTGCTGCCCTCTACTGTCCATCTAAGGATAGCACCCAAGGGGGGGTCAGCAGGAAAGGTCTGGCCTCTGCAAAGGCTTCTGAGCCAAAGACCAGTGAATGCTCTGGACACTGTCACTGCGTCCTGGAAGATGCCCATTGGGTGGGGGACTCATTGAGGTGGGTCCAGGCACAGGCCCAGCCCATGCTAAATGAATCTCCTTTCCACCTGGCTCAGACCTGTGCCTGCCTTCTACACGCTTCCCCTCTTAGTTCCCCAAAGCAGTTTTGAGTTACACAGTATGCTTGGAGAGCCTCTTTAGAAAACACTACCCTTGGGGGGAGAGGGTTGCAAACTAAAGCTTTATTTTGCAAATAAAAGAGGAAGCCCCGGAAACACAGAAAGGAAGGTGAAGTGGAGGGCAAGAGACCTGGTTACAGGCCAGCAAGATAGCTCAGCAAACTAAGCTCCTGCCTAGGCAAGCACAGGCATGGAAATTAGATCCCTGGCACCACATGCTGTGACAGCCCTGGGGGCACTGCACTGACCCCTGCACAGGCCTGTAATCCCAGCCCTGGGGAGGATGAAAACAGGAGGATCACTACAAGTCTGAACTGCATAGTGAGACCCTATACTGAATACATTAAAAAGAAAAAAGACTGAAGAGAGGCCCACCAACCAGAGCCAGCCTCCAGCTACCCAGGAAAGGGGCAGGGGAAGGTGTCACCAAGGCTGGGGCTGGAGGGGTCTTGGGGCCTCATTTCCAGGTGCAGCACTCGCACAAGGCACTGAACACCAGGCCTGGGGCACAGCTCTGCTGGAACAGCTGCCCCCCTGCACAGATGTAATATTCGGATGCTTCCTGCGGGCTGGGGTAGAGCCCATCAGCTTTGCCCTGGCAGAAGGTATCTTGTCCAGGTTAGGGGTCTGGCTTAAGATCAGAGAGCTGGCTGGGTGCAGATACCTCAGGTGCTGGGAGTCCTGGAGACACAGATGACATACCTAGAGAGACAATAAAGATTCAGCCAAGGGATCCTAAGCTCACAGACCAACCCCACAGGCAGCAGTCGCAGGAGGCAGCAGCCCAGTGCCACAGCCCAGGAGCAGACTAAAGTAGACCACAGCCACATCCATAGCCAAGTGCAGCTGCAGGCACAGCTACATATGAGACAGACAGTCAATAGTTGGGTACTGCTTGCAAAGCCCAGCCGGGTGTGGTGGAGGGGTCGGCGCTGCAGACTGAGCATGGGCTCTTTCAGCTGAGGGTGTAAGCTACACAGATCAAGTAGCGTCACAGCCAGGAAGGGGTGGGGAAGGGCTCAAAAACGAAATCATTTCAAGCATTTCCAAGGGAAATATGGGAAACAGCACTATTGGGGCACAGTAATTTCTTCCAAAACCTCAGCACCTGTGGTGCGAGAGGGCAAGGGGTGCCTCCGCTCCCAGCCTCTACTCACTCAGCTCCCGCCGCAGCGTCTGGATGAGGGGGTACTGGCCCTGGCTGCAGAAAGAGCCTGAGAAGTCGTCCAAGTCCAAAGCCCACACCATGGCACCACCCAGTCCCTTCTGCTTCACATAGCCAACCTGTGACAGGGAAAGGCAGGTGTAGGAGTCCAGGGGAGCCCAGCCAGGCCAACCCAACCCTGGAGCCCGCCTCATCCTCCCCACATGGCCCTTCTGCCCAGCACCCTCAAGCCACCAGGGGCTGGGAGTTCAGCAGATGGCCGTAGTGGCCAAGTCCAGACCCTGCTGACTATAAGCATGGCCTGGATGGGGTAGGGGTGGACAGGTGAAGACAAGCGTTGGCAGGTCGCCTGCTCTGACATTTTGGTCACTCCGGGCTGAGTTGCTGTTGGATGCCACTATGCCAGTTGTATTAGGTTCAGTTACCACAGGGAATGACCAAGTTCCTAGAAGAGTGGCACCAAGTTTTGCTTTCCTGTTTCATGTCTTGATCCCCTAAGGGCCTCCTCTCCTTCACCAGGTTTCCAAGGGAACACAGGGAGGCTTTGTTTCCCCAGAAAGAGGGGACATCAAGCTTTCCACCCTGCCAGGGTCTACACTGCTTGCCCTGGAACGGGGCTGAGAGTGGAGCATAGGATGATCCAGACCCTTTGCTAGCCCCCAGCTCCCTCTCCCTTCTACACTTGCCCCTGCACAGCATCCCACTGCAGGGTCTGTGCCTTGTCCTTGGGGTCCATTTCCCCTCCCTTCCCTGCATGTCTTTGTTGTGTTTCCTTCCAGAGCCTCCACCCCTGAGTCAGGACTCCTGTCAGCCACCTCCCAACACCGTCAGCTCTTAGCCCTCAGCCCTCCTTACTCTCCCCTGATGCTAGGACACTCCTTTGCACTTCTAGAAGGCCCAGCCCCTCTCATCCCCACATGATAATTGATGTGGGGTGTGCAGAGGCATGCAACGTCCCTCTCCAGGAGCAGATGATCTCCTGGGGCGGAGAAGCCTGGAAATAAGCAGTGAGCTCAGACTGGGCAAGACCGTTGAGCAAATCCATGACACCAAGTGGGCTGAGTAAAGTTGCACGCCGTACCTTGCATCGTTCTCCTTGCTTGGATTGATAGAATGTGTTAGTGTTTAATAAAATACAAACATGTACTAACAAAAAATAAATTGAAAGAGAGTGGTACTCCATGTAGTCATGTTTTTCCATTGTGTGCATACATGTGTGTGTGTGTGTGTGCGTGTGTGTGTGTGTGTGTGTGTGCGCGCGCGCTCAAATGGTACTGGGAATTGAACCCAGGGCCTCATCATGGTAGGCAAGTGCTCTATGACTATGCTACATCTCTAGTTCTTTTTATGAGCTTCCTAAGGGTCTTGCTTACAGAGTCTTGTCCTGTTGGCCTTGAACTTTCAAGTCTCCTGCTTCAGCCTCTTGAGTAGCTGGGCTTACAGACATGCACTGTCAAGCCTTGCTCACTGTGTGTCTTTTCCTAATCAATAGGTGGTAACAGCTCCCAATGCTATCACATGGAGATTTGAGAAATTTTGAGATATTTACAAGAAGACTGACCCTTGAAGAAGTTCAGAATGCAATTATTCAGTGTTACCAAGAAGTCTTGGGCCTTCCTGGAGCCACCTGGGTCCTAGCAGGGCCAGGCCTCACCTTGGCTTTGAAGCTCTCCACATCGTCAAATCCCACCCACTGGTTATCCTGTACAGCATAGGGCACCTTCTGGTCCTCAATTCTGTGCTGCCCCTTCCAGGAGCACACCTGTAGGAACAGAGTAGTGTGATAGGGAGGAACAATGGGTTCTAGAAGGCACCAGACCCTCCCAGCAGAGGGGGCCAGAGATTGGAAAATTCCCTTCTGAGGAAACCTGGAGAAGACTGCACTCAAACGTGAGGCATTGGGGTTTAAGAGTAAATCCAAGATGACAGGAATGGGATAGAATCCACCAGGCCAGAATTCTCACTCAAAAGCTAGGGCAAAGACCCCCTCTAGCCTCCAAGGCAGCTCCAACCCCCTACAACTTGCAGGATGTCTCCATGTTTTCTTACCTCATAGTAAGCCAGGAAACCTCCTTCTTTAGTGAAGGGGCCGGGAGCACCAGACCCTGTGGCTGGGGCCCCAACCCTGGTATCTAATGAGGAGGCCAGGGTGAAGGATCGTCCATAGGTGGGCATGCCAAGGATCAGCTTGCTGGCAGGGGCTCCCTTCTGGAGCCACAGTTGTACAGCAGCATCCTGGTGGTGGAGAAGGAGGCATTGGTTAGTCTCCTCTACCTTGACCTGCCTCTAATTGTCTAGGAATGGGGGGTCTAAAGAAGGGGTGGTCCAGAAAGGGCTACCAGGGCAGAGACTCCCCTCCTAGACGTTTGAGGACCTTCATTAGTACTGCAACCGTGCCCATCTTCTTTAGACCTGTAATCAATCACCTTGGTGTTGTTGCCAGGACAAATCCCTGACACATGCAACTTAAATGAGCAAAGGCTTATTTTGGCTCATAGTTGCAGAGGTTTCAGTCCATGATCAGCAGACTCCAAGGCAGAGCCAGCACAGCTGGAGAGAGCAGAATTCACAGTGACCAGGAGACAGAGAGGGAGTGACAGACCAGAGAAGAAGGGCTGGGGATGTGTTGTCCTTTTCAAAGGCATACTGAGGTGACCCTCTTCCTCCACCTGGGCCCGTTCAGAGGTCACCCCTTCCTGATGCAGCCATTCTCTAGACCCCACCTCTCAACAGTGCTGCAGTGGGGAGCCTCAATGCTTGGGTCTTCAAGAGAACATTTTTTATCTAACCCATGACAGATCCTGCCTTAGACCCTAGGCCCCACTACCTGAACAAATACGTACTTTCAGCCCCTTGTATGCCAGAGTCTGTCCTAGACAGCTGGAATGCATTAGGAAACAAAGCAGACAGAGATCCTTGTCTTACTCAGCAACTTGTTTAAAATGAAAACAAAAATTTGCCATGTCTAAGGGTGCTGCATGGCCTGCATAAGACCTAGCACAGTGAGGCACAGGGGGCTGTGGACATATTCATTATTATTGTGGTTAGATGTTTCAGATGAGTAAAGAGCAGGTCCCTGTGCCCACTGTGTTCATCTCTGCATCCCCAGGGCCGAGAGCGCTGCCTGGCACTGAGGTGTTCACACAATGCCCTCAGCATCCTGACCTACTTCTGAGCAAGGCCCTGCTACGCTAGTTGTCACTGGGTGTGATGCTCTCAGGCTGAATCAGAAGGAGGTGTCCATGGAAGTGTGCACACATTATATTTATTTGCTTTCAGAAGGCTAAGGGCTTGACTCCCTGACCTATATCACCAGTCTTTCTTTTATTTTTTATTCTGAGACAAAATCTTACTAAATTGCCCAGCCTGCACTTCAAGGTGCAATCCTCGTATTTCAACCCACCAGAGTGCTGGGATTCCAGATGTGCATCCCACACCTGGCTGCAAAGTATGCTGAATGGAGAGTGATGAAGATTCCTCCCCCACACCAAGGTGCTAGCCCACCTTCCCCCGGAAACCAAGCTACTTGAGACCACTTTGAATTACTGTGCACCCTCTTAGAACTCAGGTGAAGAACAGTTTTCACTACATTAATTTCTTTTTTTCATAATTTTATTGATAAACAAATAGCAATGAGACAGTTTCAAATCAAATCGCTAGGACAGTTTCAATAATTAACACACTGCATACATTC